CAGACTGTTAACGTCACATATGAACAGTTCTTCAGATACAGTAATTATATCATAAACAACAGAACTGTACAAGTTTAACAAACTCACTCCAAATCACTAAACCCACTGATTTCTTCATCCTTGGTGTCACTTTTGAGCAACTCCCATGGAACTAAAATAAATTACTATAGATTCATGGCAACTCCGTGACCTCCAGAGGTAAAAGGAGCGCCCCCTCCTCTTTTAGGTAGCTGTCGTCAGATTCAGCATCAATTCCAGTTAGAATTATTTCGGCCTTTCTGAATCCTAACAGGATGGTTTTGGTTGTCACTGAAGTTCAGGCTTTGTCGATCCATCCAGTGACTTCCAGAGAAGTTCCATGGTGCACCCTTCCGGTTCCCGTGAAGCTGTACTCTGCCAGTCCCTCACAAGTTTCTCACTCACTCCAAACTTCCTTTCTGCTGCTCGATTACCATTTTCGGCTGCATATTTCACCACTTGCAGCAGGACAGAGGCTCTTTCTGCAGGAGACATGCACAGTAGAGTGAAGTGACAGTGGTACAGGAGTGATAGGAGCAGCAGTGAAAATTTTAATATATTTGGTATTTATTATTTCATATACTATAAGTCGCAGGACCACTCAAACCAAACACAGAATAAATAAATACATAAATAAAATAAATAATTAAATAAATTAAAATATGGAAAAAGAGAGTTGTTCATTTGAAAAACTATCGCTTCATGACATCACAAAGAGGAACGGAGCATTTTGAGCTTTGCAGATGTAGACAGAAGGACAATAAATGATTACTCAAGTGTGTGTGAATGAAACAAAACACAACTCCAGGTATGTTTCTGATGAGGTAATAACATTATAAATTGGCTAAAAGCTCACAAGAGTCAATTGTGAGTAATATAGGACCTTTAATAATACTGCTGCATTTATCTAGTATAAGCAGCTCAGAGTCTCTTTACGTTGTATCATTCACTCTCTTCACGTGCCAATCTGATCCAGCAGCCTCTCTGACTCACACACTACATTCATTCATCGTACAGCAGGGAGGGGGGTGTCTTGCCCAAGGTTATGGTACACTTTATCGTCCCTATAGGGAAATTTGTCTGGGGCGACCTGTCAGGGGCCGCTGGAGCCATTTCCGGATTGGGAGCTGGGCTAAATCAGGACTACCTTGGCTGGAGGATTTCAAATAATGTGGATGTTTTGGAAAGGTCCAGGCTACATTTTTGTTGTACATACATACATACATGTTGTACAGGATTCGTTTGCTCGACGGTAGGCGGGTACTTTTTTTATTTAACCAATTGCTGCTATTTTGGTCCAGATGTGAGTAATACGCCAAATCTCGTAGGAAGAAGGGCAATAACATAAAATTAGTCTGTAATTAGCTAAATAAGTTAGTTAGTAGACAAGAATTTAAGGTCTTAAAAGTATGAAAAACAGAACTCAAACTCATTTTAAACAGTTTGCAGTTGTCCAAAGTTATTTCTCAGCAACAACTAGCATGCTAACACACACTTCTGAATAATTGGATAATAAAAGAGACAGCTTATATGATATATCTGTACTAGGGCAAGACAAATTTTGTTCAAATACATGGAAAAATTGGGTACAAGAGATATAAGCCAGTTTCACTTCATGGAAACTGTCTGACCTCAGCATTAAGATTCATTCACTCGACAGTAGGCGGGTACTTTTTTAATTTAACCAATCGCTGCTATTTGGTCGTGACGTATGTAATGCGCCAAATCCTGTAGGAAGAAGGGCAACAACGTCTTTCTCCTTGATAAAATTCACCAAACGTTCTCTTTGCTCCGGCTTTAAATCCTTGATCTCGGGAATTGTTTCCAACACAGAATGTCTTCGTCTACATCCATCTCGACCGCTTTGTTTACTGTTGTGTTGTACCACAAAAGGGACCCAGACAGAGGCTTGAGTCTGACGTCATGGCTTCACAGCTCTTCGCTGATTCCGGGGTTCTTGCAGTTCAGATTCCAATAGTGTTACAACCCAGTGCTAGGGACAAAGGAAAGTAACACAAACCAGATATGATGTAAAGTAAGTAAGTAAGTAAGTTTTATAAAGCTGTGTAGGTAAGTACAATAACAAAAAAATAAATAAACGTTTCACATTTGATAATTCGGAATTCCCCAAAGTTACTAAACTCATAAACTAAGGTAGTTAACAGCAACAAAAAACACTGCCCAAGGGCCGAGCCAAACTGGCAAAACTAAAAAAAATTATAGTAACAAACACACTGTACAATATCAAAGAGCGAACGTCTACAGATGTGAGGGGCGAACTGAAACTGCCATCCAGCCGCCAGGAGGGACAGGCGCACAGCACTTTTATTGGTCGAGGTGATTGATGTGGAAGGATGTGGAAGGAAGGGATTGGAGGAACAGGACGTCAATCCTCCAACCACAGCACAAGGGGTGTCAGAGCCAGACCACAGCATCGGAACCACGGCCCACCAGTCAGACATCAGGCACCACACAGGACATGCAAATACGGAAGATACAAGCAGTAATACAAACGGGGAGCGCCAGGCGATGCGGAGCTGGAGACAGGCCGCGAGCCGTAACAATAGTCACTGATATATAAATAAATAAATAAATATAAATTGCCATTTATATTTTTGCTCTGTGTTATTATAATATATTGTGATATGTGACCTATGGTGTCCAAATTATTGATCCACCATTAAGTTTGTCTAAGTCTAAGCCTAAGTCTAAGTGAGTCTTGACACCACATGAAGATAATGTAAACAAGGTCTAGAACTGAATAATATAATGTTCTTTCCTCGTCACAAACATTCCTGGAGTTGTTTTATTTCATTCACACATGTCTAACTCCCAAATTCGGCATATTTAGGCTGAATTCTTCTCGGTAGAAACATGCCGTTCCACCTGGTGATGTGATATCATGTGGTAATACAGAAAGTGCACCACTGCGTTTTCTAACTCCATACACTTCCACTTAAATCATTTAGATAATTTCAGCTTTGGAATTGCCGTTCTCTCCAAAGCTGTTAACTGAAAACTACCACTTCATGACATCACAAGGTGGAACAGAGCATTTAGAGATTTTTTAAATTTGAAGATGTAGACAGACTAAAAAGAAAAGATTACTCAAACATGTGTGAATGAAACAGAGCACAACTGCAGGTATGTTTTTGATGAAGTAAAAACATTAAAACATGGCTTACAGCTCACGAGAGTAAATTCTGTGTAATATAGAACCTTTAAATTTACAGAGTCAAAATGCAAACAGTTATAAAATTGTAATTACTATCCTTTCTTTCTCTTTTTTTAAACAAATTGACATTATTAATCATAAACAGTCTTGCTCTATTGAGGAGGGGTGCAGGCAATTTGGGGTTGTCCCTTTTGGAGTTAACAAGAGAAGAAGAAGAAGAGCCCCATAGGGGAAAGAGCCGGACACACAGGAAATGGACAGTCTGTCAAACGCTCCGTATGTGTGAAATGTGGTCCCGTGAAGTTGGCAGATCAGAAACAGGCTTGCGCTGAGTGACAAGATTCACAACTATCTGAAAAGTGTCGTGTGGAGACAATATGACAGAGATGGGCAGAGGGCCAAAAGCGCACACATTACAATATTAAGATTTGGTTGGGACTAGTCAAAACAATATCAAAGAAACATGTCTAAAATGGTCGAAAATGGATTGACAATTTTGATCAAAGCAGAAAAGAAAATCCTCATAGAAAATAAATTCCAAAAATAATTTAAAAAAGACTATTACAACTGGTATGATAGTGGGAAGTTAGTAAGTCTACAACGTAGGGCTGACCGTTTTGGGCTTGATATTATTTTGTTATTCTGAAAATGATTCTGGGAAGCTGTTTTAGGATTCTGTTCAAAGTTCACATTTTAAACGCGTCCAGAAGAATTGACAAAAAGACAGAAAATATGAAATGACAAACTAAAACAAGAATCACATTGTCCAGATCTAAACAGAGTTAGCAGTTTTTTGAAGGTTAGTAGTTTTATGCAGAAAAAAAAGATATTGGATATTACTGGATATTTTGTTGTTTGTGTAGGAAATTTTGGTACCTCAAACATTACAGCCTTTGCGATTTGCTAATTGTGTCCATTCAAATTATGATTTTGTTTTGATTGTGATGAATCCTATCCTGATTCTTCAGTCGGTTTCACTTTGTAGAAACTGTCTGATATCACAGTGTTGGGATTCATTCGCTCAACAGTAGGCGGGTACTTTTTATCATTTAACCAATCGCTGCTATTTGGCCGTGATGTATGTAATTCACCACTAATGGGGCTAACTGGTATATTAAGCTTTTCCCAAATCCTGTAGGAAGAAGGACGATAACGTCTTTACCCTTGATGAAATTCACCAAACATTCTCTTTGTTCCGGCTTTAAATCCTCGATCTTGGGAATCGTTGACAACACAGAATATATGACACTTCGCTGATTGGGTTTTTGTAAGTTTTTGCAAACCGTCTATTGTATTTTGATTCCTGATCTAGTCGCTGGAGGGAAATGAAACTGAGCGGAGGCACTAGGTGGCGCCAGCCTGACTAGATTAATCCTGCATCCATACTAAAATAGTTCTGATGCTGTTGTGAGGTAAAAATCTGTAGGAACTGCATTTGTTTAGCCACCATACAGTAAGTAAATTACAGTCATTTAAGAGATGTAAACCAGGTCTAAAACAGGACTATTCTAGCTCTAAACTACAGCATAAATTAGACCACTGTACTACTTCTTAAAAGACTAACCCAAAAGACAAAAAATTTGATAAAGTTCAAAACAAAATAAATCAAAATTCACTTAAAATATTATTCTTCTGTTTTTGTAATAACATCATATTTGGGACATTCTGGAGTGTAGTGCAAACAACAAATACCAACTGTTAAAATTAAAATAATCAATAGTCCACTAGTCACGGTTATTTCGATAAATCATTGAAGCCCTATCCTCAAAACCATATCACAGAAACCAATAAAACACTAACAAAAATACCAGCTGAAATCCTTCTTTATTGCAATGAAACTGGTCCAACTTATCAATAGCATCAGCGCGTGAAAATAAGATAGAAATTAATATTAAACAATAATCTAAAACATTTTAATAAGAAGCTGTAAGGCAGTAGTACAAACGGAGTGTGGTAAGGCTCAGGCGGCAGTTTTCTTGGGCCTGCCTCTGGGTTTTTTTTTGACCAGTCCGGGTGAACTCTCTGTCGCCATTTCTGTGAATTTCGGCAGTGCTTTCTTAGCTTTGGGGCTTTTATTGGCAGCCTTCTTCACACCATTGACCTCTGTAGGAAAATAACATGTTAATAACTTACATGAGGTTATATAAGAAGGATTATAACGAAGATAAAATGTACCTTTCTTTTTAGTGACCCTTTTTTTCTTGACGGGACCTTCTTCCTCTTCGCTGTCTACGCCGTCCTCTTCAATTACGACTTTTTGTTTCCGTTTGGTCGCTTTCTGAAATGAGACAATTAAAGATGATCAGGAAGTGTATGTTAGCATGCTAGGTGTTCTTAGCTTTACCGTGACTGCAAAACTCCGCTCTGGTCTCTGAAAGTTGGCAAAAGTGCTTACAAACTCATCGAGGTGAATAATTAGGAAGTTCAGAATGCATAAGGTAAGCGAGGAATAACTTTCAACCATCGCAAACTGTTTGAAATGTGAAAAAGAACTAGAATTTGTTTTCAAGACTGGAAAAATACAGTACAGTGGCTTTAAAGGTGCAGTGTGTTTACATTACATTTATTTATCTTTCCACAGACAGTAGGTGACACCACAGGGCTAAGTTACATTTTTAGATCTCACCCACAGTAAGAATCCAAGTTTTTAGGTTAAATAAAAAAAGAAATGTTATTGAGTAAGTGCAAGATGTGATTAATGCCATACCAGGATATTCCAGATTAGGGGTTTGCAAAAATACTGAAATATCGATATATGTGTTTAATGTGATGCTACAGTATTGATATCGTGGGCTGCTGTATCGATATATTGCCAAGAGTCATTTTTGGTATAGTTTACTAAATTATTTTGTTACAGCGCTACAGTTTTGTTGCTTGTTTAGTGGAAGGAAACTCGTTTAAGCCACACATTTGACATTTTCACAGTTTTGAAGATGAAAATGTTTGTGTTTCATATTCACTTTGCACAAAAAGTGGTTCAACAAAGACTTTTAGTATCACAGCTATAAATTCGCCTTTATTTTTTAAATGAACAGTATCGAATCATTTTGAAATATATCATACTGACTTGTACTGAATCGTAAGCTCACTGTATCGAGGTATGTATCATCTCGTGGCCTATATATCGAGATATGTATCATATTGTGGTCTATGTTTTGAGATATGTATCGTACCGTGGCCTATGTATCAAGGTACGTATTGTATCGTGGCCTATGTATCGAGATATGTATCGTATCGTGGCCTATGTATTGATATGAGGTATGTATCGTATCTATGATGAGTATGATCGATATGTATCGTATCTTGGCCTATGTATCGATGTATGTATCATATCGTGGCCTATGTATTGAGGTATGGATCGGATCGGCAACTTCTGAATGATACCCAGCCCTATTCCAAACAAAACAATTACAACTCCGTGGAGGCAAGCAGGTGGCGGACCCTCCATCAGAAAAGTTACACAGTGCACCTTTAATGTCTGCAGATTCAATTACTAAAATGTACTGTAGTTTTTGCCTGTACGTAATAAAACATGATTATTAAACATGAGCATGAAAAGCCACTTAAAGAGTCATTCCCTTTAACAAAGCCGCTCACCTCCTGTGCCCGCCCCTTCCTCCTTTCCAGGCCTTGAAACTCAATCTCCCCCCTTCCCGCTCTCTCACCCCTGCCCCCTCTCCCTCCCCTCTCTCCCTCCTGTCCCCCCTTTCCCCCTCTCACCCTTGCCCCCCCCCCCCACGCCCTCCCTCCCCCCGACTCCATTTTGGTCTCCATTTTGACAATTGCTACCTCATGATCACTATGCAGCGCCCGCTGAGGTGAACAGATTGGCGGGATAATTGCATACAATAACCAGCGCCGAGGCCCGGTAACCCCACGGCTGGCACCGACCAGGTCCCAAGTGGTATCTTCCATATGCAGAGGGAAAGAGAGAAGGAGAGAGAGAGAGAAGGACAGAGGGAGAAAGAGAAAGAAAGAGGGAGGAGGAGAGAGGTAGAGGTAAGAAGAGAGTAGAGGGAGAAAGAGAGAAAGAGGGGAGGGGGAAGAAAGGGAGAGAGGGGGAGATGGAGCGGGGTAGAGAGAGAGAGGGATAAAGCAGGAGAGAGAGAGAGAGAGAGAAAGGGAGAGGGAAAAACAGCAAGAAAGGGAGAATAAGAGAAAGTGGAGGAGGAAGAATGAGAGAGAAGGGGAGAGAGAAAAAGAAAGGAGAGGGGGAAGAGAGAGGGAGGGAGATAAGAGGGGTAGAGAGAGAGAGACAGAGAGAGAATGAGGGGGTAAAGCAGGAGAGAGAGAGGGAGAGACAGAGATGGGAGAGAGGAGAGAGAAAGACAGAAGAAAAAAGAGAGAGGGGGTGAAGAAGAAGAGAAACACATGAAGAGAGGGTGGGAGAGAGAGAGGACTGGATGGAGGATAGAGAAAGAATGAGGAGAGCCGAAGGAGAGAGAAAGAAGAGAGAGAGAGAGTGTGGGGACTAAAACAGATGAAATGGAGAGATAAAGTAGGAATTAAGAGTGATCACGCTGGAAGAGCAATAAAAAGCTTGGAAAGATTTTATGGGCAGGATTTCCAAGTCGATAAAACCAAGATGCTAAAGTTGTTCCTTTTGTCTGGGAATGTTGTTTGCCACAGTTCACAATAGAACGCTATATTTGTGCCAGATGCCCTTCCTGTTTAGTGACCCAGTGGTTTGTGGGCGAGTGGGGAAGTGCTTCATTCACTGCCCAAGTTATTGTTATGTTTGCATTTTGTTTTCTGACACTAGGAATCAATAATTTTATTTTATTTTTTTAATCTGTTAATAGTTTCATTATCATCTTCTTAGTATTCTTAGCAGTTAAAAGTTAAGAGAACTCACATAATTTATAAAATGTTGGTAAAAAATTATGTTATTTTATTTCTTATATCTTGTGTGTATGTGTGTTTTTTAAGTTTAAATACATTTTTGTGATATGGGGTCAAATACTTGATTTTACTACTAGTTTCAATGTACAAACAAAAAAAGTATAGCTTTCTTATTATGTAATCATTATTATTATTATTATTTTTTTTAATAGATGACCTGTAATTAGTTTAAAGTACATGTATTGTATAGTGTATAGCCCAATATACAAACAATATAATCCACTTTATTTATATAGAACTTTTTTATTTTTATATTTAGACAGTAAAAGAGTAAATCCTAAATAAATATAAATAAATAAATAAAAAGTATTAGCATACATAAAGCAAACAATTGTTAAAACTATAAAATTAATTTAAAATAAAATCTAAATAGAAGGAATTGCTTTAACATACATAAACCCTGGTAGTATAATCCAGTATTTGACAGTGTACAGACCTTGGGTGATGCAGCCCCGTTGACTGAGCTGAACTCCAGTTTCCCGTCATCTTTGGCCTGCAGAGTTTTGAGTCCCGTCTGAAGGATGGAGCGCAGTTTGTCGTAGGGAGGCTGCTCCTGGTACCCCAAAGTTTTCACCTCCTCCAAGTACTTCTGGAGCTCACCTACAACAACAAAAGTCTCTATGGTTACACACACACACACACAGAGAACTCCAAGTGAACCAGACAACCAAGTTCAAATAATCTATATCTAGAGTTCACCTACAACAACAGTCACTATAGTTAGATAGTTAGATATTTTACAACAACAATGAAACAATAATAATAAAACAGTAATTCATCATTTATAGAGATGCACTGTACTGTACACTAATCCAATGGAAAACAGCTCCAGAGACGGAACAATTTGGTGTCCCCAGCTCCCACGAATTAATCTGAGTACGGATCTGATCCGGCACCGTGTGGATGCCTGAAAACGCTGATACGCTGATGTAGGTCTATGCACAGTGAAGTAATTCACCGCCAAAACGCTAAGAGGCTAGAATATATGTCCATTCATATATACGGTCTATGTGTATGACCTGCAGACGTATAATCTCTGAAAAGTTTAATATGAATAATCTCCAGCATAATAGAAGCACAGAACAGACTCACTATCAGCAAAACACCCCTCTGTCACAGAAAGAACACTTATATTCTACTGAGTTGTGTCCTTTAGTCTGACAGAAGCTGCAAGCATTTTTTTAAGCACTCAGTTTATGCAACTTAGCCATGCGGTTTTAAGTTTAGTTTCTGTAAAACGTAAACAAATATGCTCAAAGCTGTGCCGACAGAGAAGGATCGCGGACACAGAAACAACGTGTCTGAACACAAATTGTTTTCGATACGGTGATATAGTGATTCGTTTCAGTGTAAACATAACCTGAGTGTGCTTAACTATAGTCTATATTTGGAGCTCACCCACAACAACAGCAATGAGAAAAATATGTGTATTAAAAGGTGCACTATGTAACTTTTCTAGTGGGCAAACTGTTTCTGTCTGTGGTGTGTGTATGTTATCGTTTTGCCTCGAATGTTCCACAGTATGCATAAAATGTGTTTATCTCCGTGGAGACAAGCGGGTGAGGTCACCACCAGGCCGAGTTACAGGTCAAATCTGTGGAGAGGCGACCACCCTCACTGTAATAATGCATGTTTTTCAAGATAACAAACCACCTGCGTCTGATTAAACGTGATACAGTGTGACAGGATAAAAATTGTGTTTCTATGTTAAGTTAGGTGTTAAATCCTGTTCATTAAAGTCACGCAAGTTGTCAACATCAGTGTCAGGCAATCAACAAATGCACTTAAGCAGCCCCCTCTACTGATAACAGCCTGATAAAAATTATGGTATTGTTAAAGGTAAAGTGTAGTGGTTTTGGAGATCTAAAATATTACAGAAAATATCCTACAACATGTCAAATATTTATTGTTTGTTTATTTTTACTTTAAAGCTGCACTATGCAACTTTTCCAGGTAAGGGCCTACCACATGCTCATCTGCATTGAGATGGTTTTGCTTTGCCTGAAATGTTCCAAAATATGGCATTACACGCTTCTAAATCCATAGAGACAAGAAGAGAGGAGGAGAGCCCACTCACAGTAAGAATGCATGTTTTTTAGCAATAAAAACATTCAGAAATTAACTATGCAAAATAGACAAGTTGAATACCATACTGTGAAACATTATAGACAAATAAAAACGTCTCACCAGTGAAAACAAACAAGTGGCATAACCCCGACCAGAAAAGTTACATAGTACACTTTTGGAGCTATTTCCAGTGTTATTTTGCATTTTACTTTACCCTCACTGTAGTAGCATTCACAGAACTCTAAATTTAACTCTGACTGTACTCTATCATCCCTCCCTCTTTTTCTCTCATCCTCTCTTACTCATCCTCCTTTCCACACTTCCATTGCCACCATAATGTTCCACTTTGGTTGCCGTGGTTTCGTTGTGTTTGGTGCGACTTTCCTCAGACGCAGACACACACACAGATGGAGTTGTAAACAACAGTTCGGCGGTGCTCAGCGGGGCAGAAAAGGAGGAGGTGTGACGCTGCTTCGTGTTCTGCGGCGCTCCTGCCTGAACTGACGCTGCCCGGGGTCAAAGTGCCAACGTTAAAAAGGCAACGTGAACGACGGTGAGAAAGCGGCGACAAGACTGGAGAGATGCGACCACTTACAGCCACGTTACAGCGCGTATACGAGAGAGGGGGAGAGTGGGAGAGGGAGAGGAATAGGAGTGGAAGGAGAAGGGGGAGGAGAGAGAAGGGAATGAAGAGGAGAAGAGAGAGAATGGGGGAGAGAGAAGAGGGGAGACAGACAGATAGATGGATAAATGACAGGTGGGGGGATAAAGTGGATAGAGGAGAGCAGGATAGAGAAGAAAGGGACAGAGAAGGGAAAGAAGAGAGAGGGAGGTGAGAAGGAAGAGAAGCAGGAGACTTGGAGGTAAAGTACTTCTATCTAAATAGAAAGAATAAACGCTACACAGTGCAACTTTAAAGAATTTAAGAATGACTTGACTTTTTAGAAATAGTAGCCTAGGACATATATTACTACAATTAATAGTTATAAAAAAGTAGCTGTGATTATGCTAAAAGTACTGTGCTTGTTTCACTCACTTGGTTTGTCTTGTGAGGGAAAACACTTTGTCATGAATTCTGAAATGTTGTCTCGAAACCTAAAGTAGAAAAAAATAATATTTTTAAACAACAGTTCATCAAGCAACACACAAATAATGTCATTCATTGCAATGTCATTTCCGATAGAGGAAGGAGATAGACTGAATCGAAAAAATAACTAACATTGGAACTGTTTTGGAGAGATGCAAAATTAGAAATAAATAATTAAAACTATTAAAAATGACCGAAATGTCTAGTGTACTGTGGTCCAAAGCAAGAAAAACAGTCTGATGAACATCTTTTGCCGAAACCTAATTTAAAATTTTAAAAAAGCTTTTGGACATTGGCCATCTTGAGTGTGCTATGCATTTTTTACTTTTAGAAATGTCTAGTGTAACTTCGAAACGAGGGAGAGATTTCTGAACTTTTAAGGGTACTTTGTTAGTCTATTCACATTTTGTGCTAAACATCAACCAAGATTTTACAGGGACATTTTAGCACACTCTTGATGCATTATTGAAATCATCTTAATAGTAATAATAGTAGTAGTAGTAGTAAAATCTGACTTATGTAGCGCTTTTTGGACACTTTACAAACAAATGGAAGCAACACTCTAGAAAACAGGGGGAATCAAAGGGGGAAAGCCAGACTGAACAGGTTATTAGCAGTGATTTGTAGTGCTGCAGTGAGTCCGAGTTCCTCATGGATTGTGGGAGTGAGTTCAGAGGAAGGGATGTCGGCAGTGAAGGCTCATTCCCCCATTAATACCAATATTGAGATAATAAAACAAAACAAATATTGATTTAAATTGCCCACCCTTAATTTCAGATATACTGTAGTTTCACCTGATTTTGGAGTCCCTGACATAGATGGGGTCCTGCAGTTTGTCCTCCCAGGGCAGGCGACCACACAGCCACTGCACCATACAGTAACCCAGGATCTCCAGGTCCCCTCTCCTGCTCGGGGCTGCACCACAAGCACAGGCAAAAACAGTTAAAGGTGCTTTGGGTAACTTTTCCGGTGGAGGGTCCGTCAAATGTTTTTCTTTATGGAAATGTTATTGCTTTGTCTGGAATGTTTCACTGTAAAGTAGCTTTATATCTTCATTGAGATCAAACCAGACCAAGTTACAGGTCAGATTTGTGGAGAGCCAACCCCGCTCACAGTCACAAAGCATGTTTTTGTAGGTATTTTTGAGCTATAAAACCACCTGCGATTTAATAAAAGTAAGGTAGAGCTGTTTAATGTCACACTGTGGAACATCCCAGGCAGAGCAATGACATCTCCAGAGAAACAAGCAGGTGACGGACCCCCAAGCAAAAAGTTACATCGTGCACCGTTAATGTGTGTTGCTAAACCAAATATTCCTTCATAATAAACAACATTACTTAAAAAAAAAATCCTCAATTCACTGTTGTGACATTTTCGTGGCATTTATCTTTTAATAAAAACATGATATTTTGGCTGAACAGTGTGTCATAACAGATGGTTTTTGGAGTTTTTAATGAATAAATATTAGGACTTCTTTTTGCCGACAATAACTGAAAATGTATTTGTGTACAGACATCTTGTACGACATCCTTCACGTGAAATAACACTCACACTTTCCTTAAATATTTTTCTTGGATTTTAAACTCTCCTACATTGTCAGCATGTTTTAATTATTTTGGAAGTTTGGGTTGTCAAAACGCATTATAAGAACACATGATGACTGTTGACATTGACTGGACTCAATATTTTATTTGCGAAAACATTTCACCTCTGGTTTTAGTGATGAGTCATTGACAGTAGTTTATTTATTCATGTTTACAGTACATGAATTTTTTAGTTTTCCAAACATTTAAATGTCCTTAAGTTTCCAGTCAGTCCATGATGATACTTGTCACAATAACAAGTAAGTAAGTATGGTAAGTATTTGAATTATGGTATGTTGCTATACAGAAAATACTACAATAAACAGTACTATATGTGAAAGTACTTTATACACAACAACACAATGACCATAAGGCAGAGTAATCCTCCTAAACCTCTTTCTGAACGTAAAATATAGTTTAAAATGAATAAATACATAAATATAACAAAACAACTTAAAGAGCCCATATTATGCTATTTTCTGATCTACGTTATAATGTTTTTTTCTTGTGTTGCTCAAACGTGAATGAAACAAAACAACTGCAGGTATGTTTTTGAGGAGGAACACCATTATAACATTGCTCAAAGAGTAAATTTTCTGTAATATAGGACCTTTAATTACCATCTATGAGTCACAAAAGTTACAAAAAGTTCCCAACTAATGCAGATAAAAGGTTCAAACCCCCCCCTATTAATTACTGAACAATATAGTAATTATATAGTAATTATTGTGACAGGCCTACAGTCCATAATGAAAATATCCACCCCCTCTCAGAGCTGTGGTTAGAACTGTGGTGCACTTACTTGCTCCCTTGTGTGCGTCGATGCTGGTGAACTCAATGGTCCCATCATGGCACCTCTTTGGGTCCTCCTTGTAATCTTTTTGGACCCCGTCTGGAGAGTACCTGTACGCCAGACCATAGTCCACCAAGTAAACCTGGGTCAGAGAGTAGAGAGGGCTTAGTCTCTATCACAATGAGTACGGTTGCAATTAGTAATTCACAAAATGTATATACAGACCATCTTAAAATAAATTAGAATATCGTGAAAATGTTTAATATTTTTTGTCATCTATGTAATACATGGGTTTGACATTCTGAAATGAGTGACAGAAAATATTGAACTTTTCCTCAAATTTTTTGAGATGGTATGTAATTGAGAGAGTAATGTTTATTTTATATAGCACAAAAACAAACAAAAAAAACAACAAAACAAAAACACCACAGTAGATAAAAAAGTAGGTGCAGGAAGAGGGAAAAATGCCAATATTAAAATAGCATAATTTTATCTGCAAACAACTAAATATACTGTATTATAAAGTAAAAAGTATCCAGTAGTATTTAGATGTATCCAATATGGCATTATAAATTCCTTGAGATTTAAGTTAGAAATTCATATAAAAGTCAGCTCTAAGATGGTGAGCAAAACACAGATTTTAAAACCAAAATCACAAATATAGTAATCATAATCCTTGTCAGAAAAAAAAACAAGTGTTTCAAACACTCATCTGAAGAAAAAATAATGAATATTTCCCTTTTTAAAATTATGTATTAAGTAGCAGGAAGATTAAACAAAATTGGATTCCTGGTAAGTAGAGAAGCACAGCCATAAAAGCCTTACCAAATTTAACTCCCATGAGGCCAGTTTTAAATTGTCATTTATAAATAGCTCTTTAATAACAGCTCCAATGATACATTATTAATCTTCAGATTAAATATTTGCCCCTGCCCCCTCCTTGTTTTCCACTAAAAGCTGCCATCTAATCTGCCCCTGTTTGGAGCGCACTCACACACACCCTCCCTCCTCTCAGGACTTAATTGAATTTAATGAAGGAGCACCACTAGTGTTATGATAAAAAAGCCTGGCCAGCCAATACTACATTGCTTTCAGAGTACTTAAAGGCCCCATATTAGCCTGTTTTCTGATCTATGTTATAATGTTCCTTGTTCCTCATCCCTCATCCAAAACACACCTGGACTTGTGTTTTGTTTCATTCACAAATGTTTAACACACAAACCCTGCATATTTAGGAGTTTTTTTTTTCTCTAACAGAAAACACTCTGTTCCACCTTGTGATGTCATGTTGTAATACAGAAGTACCCCACTGTGTTTGCAAACATTACTGTCTCTATGAATTCTGTGCTAAAGCAGTTATTGGATTGTTGAAAAATATGACATAAACATTAGAATAAAGTGCAGTTTTAGGCTGGTTCATTAGTAGTAAGATGTGGAGCACTGACCTGGTTTGGATCGCTGTAGCTCAACATGAGGTTGGATGCCTTGACATCAGCATGCACATACTCATACTCGTGAATGTACTCCAAAGTATCCAGCTAATTACACAAGAGAAATCAAATGGTAATTATATATAATTATAAATTATATATATATTCAAATTTATTATTTGTCTGACAAAAATACCACAGGTCATAAAACAAGCTAAAACATGTTAATATCTTACCAGTCGAAGACCGAGCTGCAAGACTAGTTTTCTGGGGAACCGTTTTCCACCTTCCTCAAACTTCTTCTGCAGATCTGTGCCAAGTCGGTCTATGACCATAAACCTATACCTGAATCACAAATACAGTAATTAGGAGTTATATTTAGTTTCATAATATGCATCAGAAACCACAGATATTATATTCATGCTAAGAAAGAAAGGCACATAAAACCATGAAAAACAAACAGTGTTCTAATGTAACTTATGCAAGCTTACTTCCTCCCTCCTTTCTCGTGAAGTCCTGAGCCCCAGTATTTGGGAACACCTAAACTCTTCAGCTTGTGCGACTTTATCCAGTTCTGAACTGCAACAGGGAGAGAAATCTGTAGTAATCTGTAGTAGACAAGTATGCAAGAATTTCACTTCAATATTTCTTAAACATTACCCACTTGTGCCTTCTTGAATGTTGTAAAAATGTTCAAATCTGATTGTTTTACTGATAAATGTTTTATATATACAAAATTACAAAAATAAATTATATTATAGTTATTTATGTTTACATTTTGTGTTTTGTTCTCAACTTGATTTTATTGTCATTATGAGACACACAAGTGTGCACACAACAAAATTTTGTTGCAATTGTGACAGAGTTAAAAATCACCAGCATAATATTTAATATTATTATTGTTTTAAGTACTTAATAAAGTGCCTATGCATTGCATAAAGGAAAAGTAGATTTGAAATATAGAATTATGCTACAAATTGACCTTTAGGAAATTATGTATCCTCAGTATTGGATATTTAAACCACTAGGAGTGCAGCCATTACCTTTAAACATTTCAGTAACTTTTATGAACGCAAGGTTAACTAATGTTGGAGTGTGAGCTGCTCAAAGTAATAAGAGCATAAACTCGTTGAGGAGAGTCGGGCAGGGCGGCCGCCAGCTAATCTGCTGCTGGGACAAATATTTACCAACAACGTGAGAATCCACCATGAATAAAATATGAGCGCTTGGTTTCTTAGTAATATAACAGTTAATTGTCAGGGGAGAATGACATTTGGATTGTTATTATATAAAATGCAAAGCTGCGGCCTCGGGGCAACAGAGCAGCCACCAACTGCCTCTCCTCCTCTGCAGGTCCCTCCTGTGCTGCGGCTACAAGATTGTCTTTTTTAATTAAGAAAGTTGAGTTTCTTTTATTTGTTTGCCCTGGTGATGAGAGACGTTGGTGTTATGATCACAGGGCTAACTTTGGCTTAGTGAAATACAGTATAGTTCTGTTTGTGTGGTTACAAACAGTGAAGAGGCTTACTCAGCTCGGGCTTTGCTGCTCGCATGTAGAATTTGAGCTCGGAAAATAGGGGGCCACTTTCACTGGGCTCCTGAGAAGACAAATAAGAAAAAAACAAACAAAATGATAGAGATAATTGTATCAAGTGTTGTAATAACATAATAAGTACTTACACATTAAACAATACAGATTACATATAATTTAGAAAAACAAGCATTACATATTAGGAACAACAATAAGGAAAATATCATAATATTGTATTGTCAGAAGTTTTACACTGATATCATTTGTTATCACAACATATAAAATTACAAGCTTCTTTGCTTAAACTTTTTTTTTTTTTTTTGCAGCAGCAGCAGCAGCAGGTGAGACAACAGAAAACTATCTTTTTGCTCCCTTTGAGTGCAGACTACATGAAGAAAAGAAGTAATATATATGTATATATATATATATATATATATATATATATATATATATATATATATTTTTTTTTTTTTTTTATTACAATAATTGCATAGTATGGGATTTGGATAGAGTTACAATTTATTAGATATAATGCACTCTGACAAATTACATTCAAGTAAAGGCCGAAGTGAATGCCTCTGTTGAACAATGATGATGTGAAAAAGGAAATATGATGAAGGTGTTGTGACTGCTGTAACTTGACCAACTGCCAAAACAGTAGCAGCAAAAGAATGGACCCAAACCAAAATCTATTGATCGTTTATTGACTCATTATTATGTGTCCAGCTTTAGCTTGAGGCCACAATTAGTATTTAGTATTTTATGCAGTGTTAGTGTACATAATGAACTCAAATTATAACTGGCACGACATACTGAAAGAGAAAGAAAAAAAAAAAAAAAAAGATGTTTGTTTACATGGCCCACATGCTTACCACTTTTATGACGTAGCGGGCGTCTGAACCAACAGGTTTTGCAGAATTTTCCTCAGCTACAAAACATTGACAACACAACATAAATAATAGCAACACACATATTCATAAGATCTGCTATTGCCACGTTTACAGCTAAAAATCTAACTGAACCCCATTAAACTTATATCTTATTCTTACCCAAGTAAATAAGCCCGAATCCTCCTTGTCCAATAGGTGCCCCGAGTTTCCAGGCTTTCTTCCCCGTGTCAGTGAGCACCTCTCCGGGGGGAAACTCCTCTGCCAGCTTCCTCTTCGCTGGAGCTCTGCCTTTCCCTCCTCCAGCAGCTTTGGCTTTAGGAGGCATCTGTATCATGCACAAGTTAGCGAGTCATTCATCACGATGTTCTGTGATGCTAAAATGGTCACGGACAGAGCTATCTAAAGTTAGCAAAAAGCACTTCCACGTATATGTTACGATATTAGGACTACAAGCTTGATTTCGCATCTGATCTGCGGTATTCTGATGATTTGAGATTAGATTAGACTACATCAAAATGCACTGTAGTAGTAGCCAACTTCAAAACTCATTGTAAACGAACTACGTGGCTTATTTTCATAGCAGCTAGCATGAATAATGTTTTTTATTTACGGTATACACGTGGCAGCAGCAAGATGACACATCAGGATCAGCATTAGCTACACGTAAAAATGCTGTTTGATCACAGTTTTATTTAGGATGCTCACAGTTAGCCACGTTAGCAGGTGTAGTTAGCATAATTTTCGAGTCGGGATGCCTCTACTTCCACGTCTACCTAGCATCGTGCCAACGCAATTACAGCATAAACACACGATTATTGCAGGAGCTGCGATCGAAATAGCGGACACGTACCTTTTGATGGCTGTTGGATGAGATTTGTGCGTGTTTTGTTTAGCTATCGGACACCAAACTTCCCGCAAAACTACCGGAGCGGAAGTGGCGTCACGTCAGTTTTGGTATTCCATTGGTCACTTACGCAAACGTGAGAAAATTCGCGTATCATCTTTTTTTCTTCAAAAACTAAGACAGTTTTTTAGCAGGGTGGCCAGATTTTCAAAATACAAAACTGGGACATCTCTGGTTTAGGTTGTTTGGTAATAATAATAATAATAAAAATGTGAAATGAGTGCGTAATTGTTATGCACACGGCACTAATGTGAGTCAGTATAGTCACGTTTTCTTTGTGTTTTGGTGATTTTTAAGCAGATTTTCGGTATTTTACCTAAACAAATAACAATCTATGCCTTTCTTTACTGTTGGCAAATATCAGATTGATGAAAAATAGGGGCATCTGGGACATTTCTGGGCTAAATCTACTGGGACTACCCAGGGCTCAAAAATGAGACTGTCCTGGGTTAAATACAGATGTTTGGTCACCCCACTTTTTGGTAAAGTTTTTAGCTGCTTATACGAAGTCAAAACGTGCAATTTTGTTGTATGATGAAGTCAAATTTGAGAGTTATCAGGTAATATATGCACCATACACAGCAAACACGAAATGCCTTTCTTTTTATTTCATGTAACGCTAATGTAGCACGTGCAATGCTTGCTATCTTTGCTAACTTTATTATTTATTTGATTTATTTATTATTTGTTTTATGAAGCAAAACATGCATCCATAAAAAAAAAATAGTTGTGCAATATAGTAGACAAATTTTTATTATTTTTTTTTTACATTATTAATTTTTCTTCCGCCAATGCATGTTGTCAAATTATTTTAGCTAAGGAGTTAAGCAGATTGTCATACTGTGAGCTTGTGGTACAAATTAGCAAAGCCCCCTAATTCCCATTGAGAATCCACAGTGGAATACCTTGCCATTTGTTTAGCAACCCTGTACTCAGCCTCCTGAAATAGACAGAGCCCCAGTGACATTTCTCATGTTACGATTTATGCAGTGGTTGATATAAACACAGGTCCCAGTTTTCTTTGGTAGTGACCCTCTTGAAGTTTTAAGAGCCATTTTTCCCCCGTATCTTTTTGTTGACTTGCCCTTCATGCTTAGAGAGTTTGTGATAAATATGGTTGTAGCCTCCAGTTATTCTCTGCTACACATCAAGTGCAAAAATGAGGAAAATATGGAGTTAATTAGCAAACACTCAAGGTACAAGTTTGCACTCTGACCCCTACCATTTATTACTTGAGAGTCGAGCATGCAGTACCTATTGTTGTAAACTTAAAACAACAATTATTTGCCTTAAACTTATTTTAATTGTTAATATCTTCAATGTAAATCAACGTATTGGTATTGGATCGGGATGCAGGACATCGCAGAATACTTATATCTAAAGGTCAGTGCTAGTTTTCCCTATTAGTAAGTAAAAGTTATTTAGACAGGCCAAATTACTTAATCCTATTTCTTAATAAAATGTTTGTACCAATATTGGAAATAGTTATTTTACATTTTTACCACTGCATTTTGTTTCTTAAAGTTTCAATAGCTTAAATCTAAAACTTAAATGATCTTATAGGGTTAACCTTTAAATCATTTTTCATTTAAGAACTAAACAATACAATATTTTCCATAGACATTTTCCACGTTGTCACTTTTTCATTTGAAGTCTTATATGTCAGCTCATAGTTTTTAAAATGTCTCACTTCAGCTATACAAGGAAACTAAAGTAAACCTATCCTTGGGGTCTAGAATGACAACAAATTAGGACGGTTACCATAGCGAATACCAATTTAACGCTTTTTTTACCCCTTTGAATGGTGGAAAAAGTCCTCAAAATGTTGCTTGTAATAGGAATCTGAAACCCATGAATACCTTACCTTACCTTATACAATAACTATTATTATTTACAGATAAAATGTATGCTTTCATGTATTTTTACCAGGAGATGCCATGATATTGAACAGAGACAGCCAGGTATGAAAAAGCACACAGCCTCGCCTATTTACAAAGTGTCATTTGAAACCAACATACACGGTTTCACTTGCAACTCGATGCACATCTCATGAATAAGATATTGTTTCTTTAGAGTCACATCTTTCCATGCACCTCTCTTTACATCTACCATCGCCAACTGTTTATACATCAACTGCACAAATAAGGATTACTAAAACAGCTGTTGCCATGGCGTCACCCTCCTCTCAATCTTGACATAAGAAGTGTTTTTGGAGCCAAAGCTAAACTGACCCTTTTGAATTGCTACAGCTTGGGTTTTCATCGGAGGAGCGAGGGATGACCCGGTGCAATGGAAAAGAGAACCAGGAGCAGACGGACGAAGCGACAGAGAAAACAGGGACTGAAAAGAAGAAAAGTAAAGCAGAGAAGCATGTGTCTTTCCCTCCCGATGAGCAGATTGTGTCGGGGTTTGCCGAGCTCCAACACAAAAATGGTGAGAGGATAATGTGATAAATGAGCGTGCCATAAATTTTTTTGTATTTTATTTTTTTTCTTGTGATTTTTTTTTTTTTTTTTTTAAGTACGCCTATTATCTTCCTCACCACAATCTTATTTATAGAATATAACAATTATTCCCAAAGAAAATTTGTCATTTAAGGTGCACTATGTAAATGTTCTGGTGTAAAGTCCGCCACCTGCTTATCTCCATGGAAACGTTATTGTTTTTGCCTTGAATGCTGACGTGTAGTCTTTAAGGTAGTGTAGGAAATATAACAGGTAGTGTTGTCACAAATTTCAAACTTTATTTTGATACTAAGGAACTGACTCGATACTCAATACCAATTCCGATACCATAATGATTAAGTTTTCCGCATTAATTAATAGTACTTTCTTTTATGTTTCCATGTGGTATTTATAATATAAGAGGGTGGTAATAAACTACAGTAAATGTCTTATTTGGTAGCACCATTTTGGTTTTATAGGGAATGGAGGTCCCCTACAGTGTTAAAACCAAGCTGGTAATTAATTATTTTAACAGGCTTTACATTGTGTTTATTTTTGCAACAGCAACCATACTGTATGCTAAGAAAAGCCATCATCACTATTAGATGTCATTATGTAACTTTTCTAAAGAGAGGTTCACTACCTGCTTGTTTCCTTGGAGATGTTATTGCTCCACAGTCTTGCAGTCTTAAAAGTAAATATCTTGCATATATTAAATTAGTATTAGTATTGTTTTATTGTTCTAGAATCCCTTGTAAAACATACATGTTCTAAATATTGTTCTAAAATACCTTGTAAAACATACATTATACTGAATGAGCATGGGCATGACTCTCCATAGACTTGACCTGTGACATGACTTGGCTGCATCACTTATCTCCAGAGCGATAAACAAGTTTCATGTCGTACTGTGGATTGTTCCAGTCAAAGCAATACCATGTCCATGTCGACAATCAGGTAACATATCCTCCACCAGAAAAGTTCCACAGTGCACCTTTAACCTAATAAATATGAACAGTGGACATATGGGCGTTTTCCAGTACTATTGTCTTCCACTAGAGGGCTCAAATCAAACTTAGCTGCTCAATGGACACCGCCAAACAACAACTGATGCAGCACTTTTATTGATGGTCTTGTAATCAATCAGTTCTATTGCAAAAGTTTGGCAGTTTCGTAATTGATTTAAATGCAAAGCGTCTTTCAAAGGATATGTTATGATAAAGTATTCCCGTCTCCGTAATCCTCGGTGGTGTCTCACATCTGGATTGTCCCATCCCATAAGGCAATGCTTGATAAATCGAGTTGTCTGATTGGTTGATTTATAGTCCAGACAGAGATCCATGTCCTTCTTTTCACTCCTCAATGACTGCCTCTTTCCCCGTTGTAGTCGCAAACAGCTCATGGACCCCCCCTCTGCACTAGCACACTTTACCGTATGGCATTTCGCAGGCCCTTAAGCACTTTTGAATGGTTTGTGGTGCCTCGCTGGGATGTGAAGACATTAAATCGCTGAATGAGTGTATTGTTTTATTTCAGCTGACAGATGCCTCACCTTGACGGAGGTAATGGCGGCCTACCAACAGAGCTGCAGCAAGCATCAAGTCCAACCCAATGCACGTGTACTGGAGCTGCTGCAGGTATGCCAACTCACATGTTGTTGTTTTTTTTATCATTTTTACATTCTTGCATTTTATTTTAGAGGTTTTAGTTGTCTTATGAGTTGTATAGGTCAATGAGAGCTTGTTGTTTAGCATGTTTTGGTTAGGTCTTAGTAACTCTGCTCAATTATGGCAAAAATATCAGGAATATCTGGTTTATAAACAAACTCGTGATCATTTCAAAGAATGACTTCGGTCCTGTCAAAACTGATCCATGGATTCATGGCTTTCAGCTTCCTGTTTATAACTGACATATTGAGGCTCATTTAAAATAAATACTATTTTGAATTGTTACAACAGTGCAACAGTGCTAAATTTCCATCACCCTGAAACTCATGGATTTATTAGTAATTTCTTGAGACACTTAAATTAGAAATGCTAAGTTAGAAAAGTAGCTTCAGGTTTTGAGTGCACATGTCATTCTGAACAGTAAGTAATTAATTATATTTTTTAACAACAATTTTGTAATTGAATAAAGTAATAATTGAAAGAGTAATTTTAAATTTGAATAATTGCACAGCCCTTAGGCTTTGGGGAAAATTTCTAGAAGTAATTTTTTGGACAAATATTACATTCGCAACAGTATGTTTTAAGACCAAATTTTAGGGCACAGTGCACTTTTTAAACACTTCTGTGAGCATTATTATTAAACAGACCTCAGATTGAAATATGAACTATTAAACTGTAAACATGTTTGTAGAGGGCTCTAGTTTTATAGCACGTTTTATACACAATTAGGTCATATTGAAACCAGATATTTTGTGATTTTATTCTCTGCAGAGTACATTGTATTATCTAAACAATACAACCTCTCTGATTTGCTAATTGTGACCATTCAAATAGCAATTCCAAGTAATATTTCATCCCTCACTCTTTGAAAAAATTGCAATACCATCTAACTTAGTGCAATGAACCATATATAAACTTCTTATTAGGTTTCGCTCATAACTCACTGGTTTATCCCCAACAATAGTGCCATTGATTGACAGAAAAGAAAACATGCTACACTTTTTAAAGCAATATTCCATTTAATCAGTGACAAGAGACCACAGACCGCGATCACAAACTCCTGGTGAGAGGGGCTCCACTGTGGCAAAATGAAATTACTCCAAAGCAGAGTGCTGTAACCCGGTCCGTGTATGCAACATCAGCAACTGTGCAGAAAAGAACTCTAGCATGCAATGATGTTACGGCCGCCCAAAAAGGATCAATACTGAAACTAAAGCTGCAAAACCAAAAGATGAGAGACACAGCACAATATTAGACTGTGGAAATGGTAGGCGGTTGGCCAATATGTGCTGAAAAAAGTTCATATTTTGAGACAATAACCTAAAACAAATATACTAAAAATATGAATTGAATGAAAGAAAGCCCGCATTGCATTCTGTTAAAGGTGCACTATGTTTGGAGCGCCAATCCAGCTTTTTACAGTTCTAATACAGATTTTGATACTGTAGTTGTAAGTCTATCCTCATACCCATGCATATGTTGAAAACAGCATGTCTTTCCTTTATACAAAAATAAAATAAGACTAAACTAATCCAAATGTGTTAGGTAATGTAGCTGTTGTGTATCGCATGTATCTACAGAACAACTTTGTATAAATAAAACATTACATGAGACTTTCTGCGCCAACTACATCCAGTAAATAGTCATATTACATCGATTTCTTTGTCCAAACAGAATACCAGCTGAATCAATATTGGAAGCCGATATCTGATCCAGCAGATTTTTTTAAGTTTCGCCCCTGATATCTGTTAACAATATCGGATCCTTACACTATGTAAATTCCCAGGTGGGGACTGGCACCTGCCTGTTCTCATGGAGATGTTATTTCTTTACCTGGAATGTCTCACAGTATGGTGTTAAACTTATCTATCTTGCTAATGGAGGTGTTTTTTATTGCTAATAGATAGCTTGGAAACATGCATTCTTAGGCTACGTCCACACGACAACGCTCCTAGGTTTTTTTCTTTGTGGGTTGGAAAAAATTCGCATCCACACACGAGTGAAAACGATGTAATACATCTGCCACATCTGTATGTGGTGCTGTTAACAATGATAATCACCATTTTTTAAACTTTAAGGTAATTTTAGCCCTTTTTTGATGTATCCCAGAAATATAGCTGTTTTGCAAAAGTTAAACATAAGTCACAGGAAAAAAACATATATTCCACTGAGTCGTGCCCTTTAGTCTTACAGAAGTTGAACTGCACAATTGCAAACTGTTTTTGTGAGCACTTAGTTTATGCAAATTAGCCATGCAGTTTTAAGTTTTGTTTCTGTAAAACGTAAACAAATATGCTCAAAGCTGTGTGGATAGGGAAGGCTTGCGGACACAGAAACGACGTGTCTGGACGCAGATAGTTTCTGATACAGTGATATGTGGATTCCTTTCAGTGTAAATGTAGTCTTTGTTATCCGTGTGTTACAGTCTGCAGACTTGCATCTCCACAGATCTGATATGTAACTTAGCCTGGTGGTGTCATCTGTGCATAAATGGACATAGCTTACCTGCTAGCCAACACATTACATATAGAAAGTGAACATGGACATGCTTCTGGCTCTATCGACTCTGGCTCCAATTTACTTCGTACTGAAAATTGTCATCCCTTTCTCTGTAACTGCTGATGTCAGGCTCCTCATTTTGGTCTTAAAATGTTCGTATTAACTCGCTCTACATGATCCCAGTATTTTTATTTCACTATTTGGTCCATAAATAAATTCCTATTCCTAATATAGAACACGACTGCAAATTCGCCCCATAACTGCTAACCTCGGTGAGCTTAATGTAGCTGGAGCTGACGGGTGACATCACACTCCCTTAGTCTTAGTTTATATCTATGGTGTATCCTGATAGAGATTTTGTGTAATGCTGTACATATTCCTAACAAAACAGTCTCATACAAGTGGCAGACCTCCACCAGAAGTTACTCTCCTTTAATTTCAAGCACAAAACATAAATGAAACTTCCAAACATATTTCTCATAGTTGTCATAGTGATCTAAAGTGCAGGTTGTTTAAACTCACTTTTTTGCTGTATAAAACTAATTAAAATGTCACTTCCACTTTATGTTGACACAAATTAAATATCTGTCATGACTAAACCGGCACATTAAAGTTACATGTGTTAACTTCATACTTAATACTTGATGTGTTGACAAGATTGTATATGGGCAAACTGTTTTTTTAATAGTACTGATCTTTGTTGTTCTTGTAATTTCTTAATGCTGCTTGCACTGAAATAGAACAAAGGTTTATGGTCAATGTAGTTCTTTTTGCTTTTCTTTTTGCAAAACTATTACTATCACTAGACTTTTGATTAAGAAAAACCCTTGTCTTGTAATTTTCCCCACAAAGTAATAGCAGTTCCTTAAATACCATGTGTTTTTTATACTAGTTTTGATCAAGATCCTTCTAAAGGAAAGGTCTAATTTTATCCTCTTTATGTAATTTTTTTCTCATTACACAAAATTGACTCTTGTGAGCTTTAAACCATGATAAGCCAAGATTGTAAACAGCTGTAAAGTACAAAATGATCTGTAGTGATCAATAACATCTCTCCCTCTGTTGCAAGATACACTCACTTCTTCTCACTTCTTCTCTGTTAGCCTCTTTAACACTCAGCCTGGCATTTATAATTCATTTTATGTACATACCGACTTTACTTAGATGCTCCGTGTTACATCGCGACGCTCTCTACCCCCTGCATAAATTTCACTTAAGATCAAGGGGAATTATTTGTGTAAAATTAGCGTTTTTAGCAGTGCTTACATTAAGTATACAGCCTCTGCATTATCTCTGAGGTGCTAATGAACCCAGATACATTCAAAACGGATGTAGGTGGTCCTCCTGATAGAGTAAAATATGTAAGCATTAGCTAAGAGGGGCCATATTTAGACCAAAAGGCTGCCGCTTTGAGAATGAATTCATAATAAGGGAGCAAAATGAAAAGATGAACGGTTAAATAGCAAGTTTATTAAATTAGGTCTGTACAGGCGAGAGGCAATCCCCCAGGACCACAGCTCAAGACTATTCAAAGGTTTTTTATTGCACCCTTGGGCCCCTTTGCTCTGCTTTGAAATGTGGTACGTTGATAAAGCGCGGAGCTGTTGGTGGCTTCTTCACACGAGTGGTAAACAATTAAAGAGCGGTGCTGGAGGGTCCGAGGCCGAGCCAAAGGAGCCAGATTTCAATACTGACGACAGGAAGTGAGTGACCCTCTTTTGCAGACAGAAAGAAAGTTGTATAGGTGAAGAAATCTGATGTAATTATGTAGTGTAAGTAAGTAATTATAAGGTTGTTATTGATACTTTGCAGCTGATGTCATTACATTACCTGGGGCTGAGATGCTAACTGTAGGCTCTGCTCTGTCTGAAGCTCTGATAGACTTTAATCTGGCCAGAAAGAACTGACTTAGCTAGAACTACAGCAAATGAGATGACTGCGGTGTAGTTTCAAACACATGAAATTACAGTCACAAGGTAGTTTGCATTTGTTGTCTGAGACCCGCCTCCTGCTTGTTGTTATTATTATTATTATTATTATTATTATTATTATTATTATTATTATTTAATTTATTTATTTATTTTTATTTATTTATTTATTGCTTTGCTTGTGATGTTCCACAGTATGGCATTCACTTTTTGCATATATTTAGCATTTGTTCAATTATCACTTTTATTGCTAAAGATACCTTGACAAATATTCTTACTCTGAGTGCTGGGCTTGCCTCTCCACAGATCTGCATCACTCTTACTAGATCTTACTAGAGTGCCAGAATAATGCCATATTGTGAAACATCCCAGACAAAGCAATAACAGGTCCGAGAAGAAAATGAAGTGGTTAATGCTCTACCAGAAAAGTTACAAAGTGCACCTATAAAGTTTGAAGAATTCTGAGACCACTTTAAGGATTTAAAATATGTTTACTGAATAATGTTCAAAAATATAAACATGTATTTACTCCATAAACTTATC